ACAAGAGCTAGTTCCAGGACAGGAACCAAAAGCTGCGGAGAAACCCTGTCTCGAAAAATCAAAAAAAAAAAAAAATATTGCTGCTGACTGAGCTCTTACTATATTGTATAGGTCTCATGACAAGTGCTTCTGATTACAGGTTTCTAAGTACTTGCCTGGTGCCCCAATGTGTCTATGAGCTGATTTAAATCAAATAGTGTGTTATTTGTATGTAAATAGTTCGATGTTTCGGCATGGGTACATCCCCAGGTTGTGAAAAATAGTACCTGAGCCCGGAGACACTTCCAAATGCCAGCAATCAAAAAAGAGTCAGAGAGAGATGTGCAAAGCGAATCTCCAAAGTCATTAGTTGAAAGAGAGAAAATTATGTAGAAGAGCATAATGAAGTCCTCCTCATAAGGACAGGGATTTTTATTTGTGGCATATTCCCAGTGTCTAAAATAATACCCATTGTATAGTATCCATTAAAAATAGTTATCAAAGGAATAAATGATGATGTATAAACACATACATGAAACTAAGGGTAATAAAAACATCATCAGAAATTTTGGAAAATATATTGTTTAAAACTAGGCATTTATCCTTTGTAAAACAATTTAAATTTGCTAAATAATAATAATAAAAATAAATCCCTAACGCCTACCTTGGGGCTCTTGTACTTTTTCATTGGTCTCTTGCGCCACCTGCCTTTCAATAAAAATAATGCTGAAGATCTGAAGATCGCAAAGCAATTGTTTTTTACTCCTACATTAGTTTCCCCTTATGTAATTAGTATCTTAACTTTTTTAATTGTGCAATTTTCTGGAATTATAGCAATTATAATGCCAAACCAGAACTTTTGTCATCCCAAACAGAGATTTCATCACAGACTCTAGTAAAGTCTAGTCTACATTCTGTCACCAGAAGTTTCCCTGACATAAACTTTAGATAAATAAAAGCTTTTAATTTTCATGACCATCATGTTTTTTTTCCATTGCCAGTTCTCTTGCATCATGTTCAAGTGGTACTAAGGGTTATTTAAATTAGCAAAATTTGGCTACTTTTGTTACAAAAGTAGCTTGTGAGATGATACATATGTCTGCTTCAATGTAAAAGAAAAAATATAAACTTATATGCCATAGCCTCATATTTTCAAACCTCAAATACATACATTGTAACAATAATCCATACAAAACAATATTAGAGCAAACAAAACACTAGTACACTTAATGGTATAAGTTAAATATGCAAAAATCATTAACATTTCTATATACTAGCAACTAATAAATTAAAAATAAAATTAAGAAGATAATTTCAGGTATATGGAGGAATAATAATAAAGATGTAAGACATACTAGTAGTCAACTAAATCCTATTTTATGTTTTAAATACTTAATGTTAAAATAGCAATGCCATCTAAAACAATCTATGAATTAATGTAATTTGTTTTTTAAAACTTTGAAGTACTCTTTAATTTTTCAAATAAAAAAGCATGGATCCCAAAAACTTATATAAAATTGCAAGGTTTCTCTAATTTCCTCAAGCATTGCTGTGAGTAGAACTCACATGTGCTTATTTCAGTTTATCACGAACCCACAGTTATCAAGAGAAATGCTAGGATAGATACATAAACAGATTGTTTCAAATGCAGTATAAAATAAAGCTTTACTTCCATGCTTATGATTCAATGAACTATGCTAGAACAATTTAATACCCATGGATTAAAAAAAAATTAGAACCTTACCTTAATCCAGACAAAGCAATTAAATGAAAGTAAGTCAAATATATCAACACACAAAAATTCTAATGAAGAGTATGTAATTCTTTGTAATCCTTGATTTTGACAATAGTTTCTTTGATGTGAAATTAAAATTTCAAATAATGAACAGGTAGGAGATACTTTTAATATCATAAAATAGAGAAACTATTTATTTATTAAAAATTTCCACCCCTTCCCATCCTCCCATTACCCTCTAACTCCTCCCATTCCCACTCCCCCTCACTCTCCAGTCCTAAGAGTCCAAGCTACCCCCCTCCCATCCAGGTCTAGGAAGGTGTGCATCCAAACAGACTAGGCTCCCAATAAGCCAGTGCATGCAGTAGAAACAAAATCTGGTGTCATTATCATTGGCTTCTCAGTACGCCCTCATTGTCAGCCACATTCAGAGAGTCCACTTTGACCACATACTTGTTCAGTCCAAGTCCAGCTGGCCTTGGTGAGCTCCCATTAGACCAGTCACACCGTCTCTGTGGGTGGATGAACCCCTCGCAGGTCCTGACTTCTTGCTCATCTTCTCCCTCCTTCTGCTCTTCATCTGGACCTTGGGAGCTCAGTCCAGTGCTCCAGTGTGGGTCTCTGTCTCTATCTCCATCCATTGTCAGATGAAGGTTTTATTGTGATATGCAAGATGTCCATCAGTGTGGCCAGCTCAGGCACCCTCTCCTCTGCTGCCCACAGACCTAGCTGGGGACATCTCCTTGGACACCTGGGAACGCGTCTAGAGCCAAGTCTCTTGCCAACCCTAAAATGGCTCCCTTAGTTAAGATATCTTCTTCCCTGCTCCCATATCCACCCTTCCTCCATCTCAACCATCCCATTCCCCCAAGCTCTCCCTGTCTTCCCCTTCTCTCTTCTCCCTCTCCATCTCCCCTTCCCCTCAACACAACATCCTGTTCCCAACTTTTTCCCAGCGATATTGTCTACTTCCAATGTCCAGGATGATAAATATATGTTTTTTTTAGGTTCACCTTCTTATTTAGCTTCTCTAGGATCCCGAATTATAGGCTCAATGTCCTTTGTTTACGGCTAGAATCCACTTATGAGTGAGTACATACCATATTCCTCTTGTTGGGTCTGGATTATCTCGGTAAAGTGTTTTCTATTTCCATCCATTTGCATGCAAAATTCAAGATGTCATTGTTTTTTACTGCTGAGTAGAACTCTAAAGTTTATATTGCCACACCTTCTTTATCCATTATTCAGTTGAGGGGCAGCTGGGTTGTTTCAACTTTATGGCTATTACAAATAGTGATGCTATGAACATAGTAGAACAAACGTTTTTGTAGTATGAATGGGCATCTCTTGGGTATATTACGAAAAGTGGAATTGCGGGACCCTGAGGTAGGTTGACTTCCAGTTTACTGAGAAACCGCCACACTGATCTCCAAAGTGGTTGCACAAGTTTGTATTCCCAGCAACAATGGATGAGTGTTCCCCTCACTCCACATCCTCTCCAGCATAGGCTATCATTGGTGTTTTTGATTTTAGCCATTCTGACAGGTGTAAGATGGTATCTCAAAGCTGTTTTGATTTGCATTTACTTGATAGCTAAGGAGGTTGAGCATGACCTTAAGTGTCTTTTGGCCATTTGAACTTCTATTAAGAATTCTCTGTTCAGTTCAGTACCCCATTTTTAATTGGGTTAATTAGAGTTTTAATGTCTAGTTTCTTGAGTTCTTTATATATTTTGAAGATCAGACCTTTTTCTGTTGCAGGGTTGGTGAAGATCTTCTCCCAATCAGTAGAATGCCTTTTTGTCTTAATGACAGTGCCTTTTGCATTACAGAAGCTTCTCAGTTTCAGGAGGTCCCATTTATTCATTGCTGCTCTTATTGTCTGTGCTACTGGGGTTATATATAGGAAGTGGTTGCAGTCTACTTCCCACTTTCTCTTCTATCAGGTTCAGTGTGGTCAGATTTATATTGAGGTCTTTAATCCATTTGGACTTGAGTTTTATGCATCGAGATAAATATGAATCTATTTTCATTCTTCTACATGTTGACATCCAGTTATGCCAGCACCATTTGTTAAAGATTATTTCTTTCTTACATTGTATAATTTTAGCTCCTTTGTCAAAAATCAGGTGTTCATATATTTGTGGGTTAATATCCGGGTCTTCGATTTGATTCCATTGGTCAACATCTCTCTTTTTATGCCAATACCAAGCTGTTTTCATTACTGTAGCTCTGTAATAGAGCTTGAAGTCAGGGATGGTAATGCCTCCAGAAGTACTTTTATTGTATAGAATTGTTTTGGCTATCCTGGTTTTTTTTTCCATATAAAGTTGATTATTGTCCTCTCAAGGTCTGTGAAGAATTTTGTTGGGATTTTGATGGAGATTGCATTGAATCTATAGATTGTTTTTGGTAGAATTGCCATTTTTACTATGTTGATCCTCCCAATCAAAGAGCAAGGGAGATCCTTCCATTTTCTGGTATCCTCTTCAATTTCTTTCTTCAAAGACTTAATGTTCTTGTCAAATAGATCTTTCACTTCCTTGGTTAGAGTTACCCCAAGATACTTTATGCTATTTGTGGCTATCAAGAAAGGTGATGCTTCTCTGATTTCCCTCTCTGATTCTTTATCCTTTGTGTATAGGAGGGCAAGTGATTTTTTGGAGTTGATCTTATATCCTGCCACATTACTAAAGGGGTTTATCAGCTGTAGGAGTTCTTTGGTGGTGGGGGGGCTTCATATTAAACTTGTAGTTTTATTCAGGTTTGATTTTTAACAAATGTGTCAGGGAGAACCGCAGGAAAGGGTGAAGCCCATGGGGGCAAGACCCTCCCAGATGCTTAAGGAGGGATCATGTCTGCCCCCCCCCACTCTTCTCTTTACCCCTAAAGGGGCTTGGAGAAGAGACACAGGCAGAGAAGGGGGCTGGTCCCCAGTCTGTACAAGTGGTGTTTGGGGGTGAAGGACTATGGAGAGCAGGCGAGCAGACTGGGATAAAGGATACAGACCATTTGCCACAATCCACAGCTTTCTGATTCCAAATTGAATTAAAAAGAAAATAAAAGAGGTGGGGGACCTAAACCACAAGCAATACCATTCCCCCTTTCCCCCACCAGGGCTGTGAGGGCAGAAGCAGGTAGCTTCACCAAGGCCACGGCTTCCTCATTCCTGGCCAAGGGAGCTAGGTGAATGGCAGGTCCTCCCCAACAGTTTGAAGGGGTGAGGAAAACCAAAATAAAACTTCAAATAAATTGTATAGGAGTCCAGCCAAGGCCCCAGCCAGAGCAAAACCCAGCTGGGGGAAGGGCCTCTGTAGGCTCAAGGATCACTTATGCCACCACCGCCACCCTGGGAGCCAGTTATTTTGCTATGGCCTTGATTGCAACAGCTGCCTCCTCTGTCATGGCAGACAGCACCGTGATCAGGATCTCTTCTCCACAGTCATACTTCTGGTCAATCTCCTTGCCAAGGTCTCCCTCAGGCAGACGAAGGTCCTCTCGTACCTCCCCACTGTCCTGGAGCAGGGATAGGTACCCATCCTGGATGCCAATCAGCTGGAAATCATTCCTTTTGATGTTGGGGACATCCATATTGTGAGTTGACGGGCAGATATCTTCATATTTCTTCCCAGTGAAAATGTCAATACCAACCAGGCGGACCTTGGCATGGCCACGCTTGCCAGTCTTTGAAGTAGACATCTCGACGATCTAACATTCTTACGTAACAAACCATTCTTACGTAATGCTGACCCCTGCATGGGGAAGGTGGCTGAGGCCCCTGCATCACCTGTCTCTAAGTCCAAGTCATCTGCCATTTTAAGAGGCTTCGATTCCAACTACTGACTCGACCCCGTCTGCTCGCCATGAGACCAACCGCTGCCTCCGAACCCGCTGCTGCCGCTGTCGCTGCCTCTAGCGCCGCTGCCACTGCTGCACACGGGTCTTAGTATGCAGGTGCCAACTCCCCACTTTGTAGGAGTTCTTGGGTAGAGTTTTTGGGGTGGCTTATGTATACTATCATATCATCTGCAAATAGCGAAAGTTTGACTTGCTCCTTTCCAATTCAAATCCCCTTGATCTCCTTATGTTGTCTTATTGATATTGCTAGAACTTCAGGCACTATATTGAAGAGGTATGGAGAGAGTGAACAGCCTTGTCTTCTTCCTGATTTTAGTGGAATAGCTTTGTGTTTCTCTCCATTTAATTTGATGTTAGCTTGCTGTATATTGCTTTTATTATATTTAGGTATGAACCTTGTATTCCTAATTTCTCCAAGACCTTTATCATAAAGGGGTGTTGAATTTTGTCAAATGCTTTTCCAGTATCTAATGAAATGATCATTTTTTTTTCTTTTTATTTATATGATGGATTA